GAGAGCTCAGTGGTCTGCTTTGCATGTGGTCCTAATCTCGAGCACCGTGTGGCCCCCCTGGACACAGCCTGGCGTGATCCCGAGAACTGCATGGGGAGTGAATCACTAGAACTTCCCCGAGTAAGCCACAGTTCTCGCTGAGCTGCAAGTGGAAACCACCTTAGGAGTACCTGATGGAGACACGGAGAGGCCAAGTCACTGGCAGTTTCCGCCTCTCCCCGCGCCCGCCACACGGGGGCGCTGCCTCCCGCCGCGTTGGCGCCGCCCCGCCGGGCTCGCTCACCTGGACCTGTGTCCACAGGTGTGCGTCCACCGCGGCACCGTCTACCCCGTGGGCCAGTTCTGGGAGGAGGGCTGCAACACCTGCACCTGTACGGACCTGGAGGACGCCGTGCTGGGCCTGCGCGTGGCCCAGTGCTCCCAGAAGCCCTGCGAGGACAGCTGCCGCTCGGTGAGGGACGCTGGGGGTGGGGGGTGGGGGCGATGGGGGTGGGATGCTGGGGTGAGTGAGGGACACTGGGGGTGGGTGGGGGACGCTGGGGGTGGGCGAGGGTCCGGCCACTCTGGTTCAAGGCTTGAGGTAGGCAGTAGGAGGAACCAGGAACTGGAGCCAGGGAGAAGTAGGGTCTGGCAACCTGGCAACCTCTCTCTTTATTTCATTAAAAAAAAAAAAAAATATATATATATATATATATATATCTGGAGCGATAGCACAGCGGGTAGGGTGTTTGCCTTGCATGTGGCCGACCTGGGTTCGATTCCTCCGTCTCTCTTGGAGAGCCCAGCAAGCTAGCAAGCTACTGAGAGTGTCCCGCCCGCCCGGCAGAGCCTGGCAAGCTCCCCGTGGTGTATTCGATATGCCAGACACAGTAACAACAAGTTTCACAGTGGAGGCATTACTGGTGCCCGCTCAGGCAACTTGATGAACAATGGGAGGGCAGTGAACAGTGCTACAGTGCTACAATGGAGTACAGCGGGTAGGGCGTTTGCCTTGCATGCGGCTGACCCGGGTTCGATCCCCAGCATCCCATATGGTCCCCCAGCACCGCCAGGAGTAATTCCTGAGTGCAGAGGCAGGAGTAATTCCTGAGCATCACTGGGTGTGACCCAAAAAGCAAAAATAAATAAATAAATAAATAAAAATGAATATATATATATGTTAATTGATTTCTTGGGGGCAGGGTCACACCTGGAGTACCTGGCTTTGGGCTCAGGAGTGACTCATGGGTGCTCATGAGGGCCCTATGAGGTGCAGGGGATTGAACCTGTATCCCCTGCCTACAAAGTAAACTGCCTCAGTTCCTGTATCATCCCCAAGTCCCCCCCAAATAATGTATGTATGTATGTATGTATTATTATTATTATTATTATTATTAGTGACCTTTTTGTGGTCACAGCCAGTGATGCTCAGGCATTACTCCTAACTGCACTCAGGAATTACTCCTGGTGGTGCTCAGGGGACCCTATGGGATGCCAAGGGTGGGACTTGGGTAGGCTGTGTGCAAGGCAAACGCTCTATGCACTGTATTATTACTCTGGCCTCACAATACATATATATATATATATATATTGCTTTTTGGGTCACACCCAGTGATGCTCAGGGGTTACTCCTGGCTCATGCACTCAGGAATCACTCCTGGCGGTGCTCGGGGGACCCTATGGGATGCTGGGAATTGAACCTGTGTCGGCCATGTTGGCTGCGTGCAAGGCAAATGCCCTACCCGCTGTGCTATCGCTCCAGCCCCCACAATACATATTTTTGAAGAGTACGTAGAAACTGGGCTGGAGCGATACACAGCGGGAAGGGCATTTGCCTTGCATGCGGCCAACCCAGGTTTGATTCCTACACCCCTCTTAGAGAGCCCGGCAAGCTACCGAGAGTATCTCGCCCACACGGCAAAGCCTGGCAGGCTACCCGTGATGTATTCGATATGCCAAACACAGTAACAACAAGCCTCACAATGGAGACGTTACTGGGCCCTCTCGAGCAAATCGATGAACAATGGGAGGACAGTGCTACAGTGCTACGTAAAAACTACTTCTAAGACCAAGGAGCTTGCTCTCAGGACTGGAGCATGTAGTTTGCTAGGTGAGGACTCTGGGTTCAAAGCCCTGAAATGCAGGTTTCCTTGAACATCTGGGAGGAGCTCCCGAATCAAAACCAGAGATACTAAGGAAATCATCTTTGTAAGTTCTTGTTGCAGAGGTCCCGAAATATTTTGGTTTGGTTTTGTTTGGGGGGCCACATCCTGTGATGCTCGGGGCTTACTCTTGGCTCTGCACAGGGGTCATTCCTGGCGGTGCTCAGGGGAACCTATGGGGTTCCTAATATCAACCCTGGACCGGCCACATGCAAGGCAAATGCCCTACTTCCAGTTCTCTAGCTCAGGGATCTCCTTTTAAATTTCTCTTTTGCTATTCCTGGGGCTGAATGCAGGGACTCTGCCTTGGGCTGGGCTGTGAACTTCCTTCCATTTTGTTCTTGCGTTTCTTTTATTTAATTAATTTTTTTGGGGGGGTCACACCCGGTGATGCACAGGGGCTACTCCTGGCTCTGCACTCAGAAATTACTCCTGGCAGAAATTACTCCACGGTCTGCTTGGGGGACCATATGGGATGTTGGGAATCGAACCTGGGTCGGCCTCGTGCAAGGCAGGCACCCTCCCCGCTATGTTATTGCTCCAGCCCCTGCGTGTTCGATTTGAGGTCTGGTAGACATCCCCGGTGCTCCCGAGCCTGTGTCTCATCCCAGAGCAGGTGACACTGAACTTGCAGCCCTTTCCTGGTGCAGGGGGGTCTGATCTGGCCTAGGAGGGGGTGTCGGGCTGAGGGGAGGGTGGTGGCTGCGGCTGGGCTGGCTGAGTTTTATTGCGTTTACTGTTTTTTTTCTGGTGAGTGTGTGTGTGTGTGTGTGTGTGTGTGTGTGTGTGTGTGTGTGTGTATTGGGCAGTGCTCAGGGCTTACCCCTGGCTCTGTGCTCAGAGATCACTCATGGTGGGGCTCTGGGGTGGGGGCTTCTGCAGTGTTTGGGACTGAACCTGGGTCAGTCGCAAATGAAGTACCCTAACCACTGGGCTTCCTCTCTGGCCCCTGCTTATCTGGGAGGCAGTGAGGTTCAAAGCAGGTCACCAGGGCCAGAGTACAGCGAACGGGCAGGGTGCTTGCCTTGTACCTGTTGCACCCGGCCACCCCAGTCTGTGGTTTCAGACCCCATTGGGACCCCCCATGCATGATCAGGAGGGATCCCCGAGTGCGGAGCCAGGAATGTGCTCCCCCCAAGCCAAATCGAAGCAGGCTCCCTGGAGCAGGCGGCTCTGGGTCACCTGTGGGCGCTTTTGCAGAGGGTGTTGAAGGTGCTGGCTGGGCAGTGCATGGCTGGATGCTGGCGTGGGGAGTGGAGGTGCCCGAGAGTTAGCCCCGCAGTGGGGGCAGGGGCGTGGGGGGGCGGCTGGAGCCCGCAACTGCTCGCCCTGCCGTGCTTGTGAGGCCGGGAGGAGCCAAGCTGCCGGCCCCGGGGGAGAGGATGATGCTGTGGTATCCAGGGGTGCCCGTGGGGAGCTCTTAAGTTTTGGAAACCCACTGGTCTCCATCTCCTCCCACAGGCCACGGGGACCGGGGAGATCACCTGCCAGCAAGGTGCAGGGAGCCCTCCTGGAGCCATTTCCACACCGCGGGCCTGTCGCCTGCGCTCCAGGATGGGTGGGCTGTTGCAGAGAATGCGTCCAAATGCAGTGTCACAGCTCACACGGGACGCGGGGGAGCATAGTTATGTGGGGCAGGGATGCACAGGGCTCCTGGAACGTTTCTCTCCGTTTGTCACTGCTTCTCTCTGCCCACCTGACCCAGCTCCCACTCTTCCCCGGAAGCAGGCTCGGCGTCGTCCCGTCTCTGGTCCACCGTCTACTTGAATCCGAGCTAAGCCCCCATTGGCTTTTACATCTGAGTCCATCCCCGTCCCAGCCGTCTGATTCTATCTTTGTGCCCCAGAGACATGAATTTCTCATGGAGAGAAGTCGGGGGGCTCAACTGGGCCTGGGGACTGCATCTTCTGTCCCCATCGGGTCTGGGGAAATACTGCAGAGGAAACAGGTCCAAGGTCTAAACTGAGTGAATAGGGCTAGCAGGGTGTGTGTGTGTGTGTGTGTGTGTGTGTGTGTGTGTGTGTGTATGTGTGTGTGTGCGCGCACGCGCGGGGGGGGGGGGGGTGGTTAAAGGCAGCTGGGATAGAGAAGGGACCACTAAGTAAGTGATGGTTGGAGGCATCGCTAGGGATAGGAGATGCATGCTGAAAATAGACTAGTAAAGTAAGTAAAGTAAAGGCCCTCCCGTTGATCATCGATTTGCTCGAGCGGGCCCAGTAACGTCTCCATTGGAGACTTTGTTGTTACTGTGTCTGGCATATCGAATACTCTCGGTAGCTTGCCGGGCTCTCCGAGAGGGGCGGAGGAATCGAACTCGGGTCGGCCATGTTGGCTGCGTGCAAGGCAGACGCCCTACCCGCTGTGCTATCGCTCCAGCCCCGAAAATAGACTATGAACCAAATATTGCGGGGGGCCCGCAAAACCACTCTCCGGCCCGCAGAGGTGGCCCTAGGATCCGTAGGTGCAGGGAAGGACCAACCGAATGAACACAAGACACAAGAGACAGAGTACAGTTTAGAAACAGAGAGAAAAAGGGACAGCCTTTATTGAGGGATACAGGCTGTTTATATAGGGTCGGGGCAGCCCAGTCAGGAGCAGAAGCAATATAACCATACATGGTAAGGTCAGCAACAAGAGCTTTACCTAACATTCAAGGTAAACATTCGTACATCAAAGGGTCTTATGGCGGTAGGTGCATCCTGAGTTTTACATTTGTATATCAAAGGGTTTTAGGGCAGTAGATACATCCTGGAGGTTACTATAGATAAGGCCAGATAAGATAACTGTCAGCCTGATGTTATGTGGCTATAGATCAGGCATCCGCTGAGATCAGGAAGTCCTGGGAGACTGTCACCAATGTCTGTCCCAAGCAGTTCCTAACATGAGAACCACGGCCAGGGTCTATGAGAGGGCTCTTGGCTTCCCACAAAACATGATGGCCTGCATTACAAACCATAACACCCAAAAGGAGAGAGTAAGAGGGAATGTGCCTGCCACAGAGGCAGAGGTGGGGGGATGAGGTGGGCTGGCGGGAGGGATACTGGGGACATTGATGGTGGAGAATGGGCACTGGTGGAGGGATGGGTACTCGATCATTGTATGACTGAAACATAAATCACAAAAGTTTGGAAGTCTGTAACTGTCTCACGGTGATTCATTAAATAAAAAAAAAGAGAAAGGAAGAAGAAAGAAAGAAAGAAAGAAAGAAAGAAAGAAAGAAAGAAAGAAAAAAAGCAAGCAAGCAAGCAGGATGGGTGGTGTGGTGGTGTCACCCAAGCTTGAGCAAGGTGGCTGGGTCTGTGGACTCCAGCTGGGTCGGGGCACCCACAGCTGTCCCAGACGGCAGCCCACGGGAAAGATGCATCCACATCCCTTGGTTCTGCATTGCGGACGCCCTTCTGTCTTTCCCCACTGGTCCCGGGCGTGTTCTGCGTCAGAGTGGAGGGTGTGCTGTCAGCAGCGTTCTGAGGTGTGGGCCGGTGACTCGCTTGTGGGACGCCTCCGTGACGTGGGCCAGGGTACAGGCAGGTCCCCTGGAGACTGTGAAGTGGAGCCAAGTTTCCAGAGCTCCTGCTTCTCCCCTGGGACTGCAGCCATGGCCGGGCACTCTGTGTCTCCTGGCTTGGCCTTCTAGGTCGTACAGGCTGCGTAGGTGAGGCACCCACACCTGTCCAGGTGGACAGATCTTTCTTGTTTCAAAGGACAGAGCTCCAAGAGGGGGCCAGGGCCCTTCCCCTGGGGTACCCAGAACACTGCTCATGCCATGTGTGCTCTTAAACCTCGATCCAGAGCGCCCCCTAGAGGGTTCCCGTGGAGTGCTGCATGCTTAGGCCTGATTGGAGGTAACCCTCATCAGGGTTCTACTCTCCCTGCAGGCTGTGTGTGTGGTGCTGGGGGCAGGATGATCTTGACTCCATAACTCTGGGGCTCTGCGTGTGTGTGTGTGTGTGTGTGTGTGTGTGTGTATGTGTATGGTGGGTGGGCAGGATGGTCTTAGCCTTGTAACTCTGGGTCTCTCTATGTGCCCCATATTTCCAGGTCATGGCCAAGGGAACTCAGGGTGATATCCCTGGGGCATCTGCCTCTGAACTTGAGCAAGTGTGTGTGTGTGTGTGTGTGTGTGTGTGTGTGTGTGTGTGCGCGCGCGTGCGCGTGTGTGTGGGCGGGGTGGGTGGAATCAGGCACTCCCATTGTCAGGAGAGTGATTTTTTGCTCAGAGCAGATTCCAGGCTTCTGGAATGTTCTCCCTCGGCCAGAGAGGTGCCCTTGTGGTGGACCCCACCAAGACCAAGTCAGTGGGCTGTGCTAAGGCGCTCGGGGACGTCTTTCACTGGCTTGGGGACTGGATGTGGGGCTCCGGGTGGATAGAATACACACACACACACATACACACATACACACACACACACACACACACACACAAGCACACACACGCACACACGCAGCACTCCACGGGCACCCTCTAGGGGGGGCTCTGGAGCAAGGCTTCAAAGCACCCAAGGCAAGGTGCCTCTGGAGCGGGTGCAGGGCAGAGGGCCCTGGGGACCCGGAGTGAGACGAGAGCCTCTGGGGCAGCTGGGAGCCCCGCAGCCGCCCCTCCTCACACCTCCCTGCCCCCTCTTCCCCAGGGCTTCACCTACGTGCTGCGCGAGGGCGAGTGCTGTGGACGGTGCCTGCCCTCGGCCTGTGAGGTGATGACCGGCTCCCCGAGGGGGGACTCCCAGTCTTCCTGGAAGAACGTAGGTTGTGGCAGGAAGGAGGGTACGGGGGGGGGGGGGGCGCCAGGGGGCTCCCGACCCTGGGCTGACACCCTCAAGGGGGCATGTGAGCCTGGTGGTGTGGTGGGGAGGGAGAGGGGGGGACTGGCACGGTTGGTCCCAGGTCAGCTTGGGATGGCCCAGCTGTGGGTCACGTTTGTAAAGCTGGGGAGAAGACCAGTTTCCTCTCCGCGAGTGGGGGTCGGGCGGTGGGGTTGGTTTTCCACCTTTCATGTGTTTTGCCTTTCGGGTTCCCCCAATCCCACCCAGTCACGTTGGCCTGTTGGGGTCTCAGCCTTCCAGGTCACCCGCTGTGGTCCTCTTGGGGGCCTTGGGGACCCCTCGAGGAGGCAGCTGGGCAAGGGGAGTTGGTTCCCGTCCACACACCCTTAAGTGCCACTGTCATACCACTGTGCCCGGGGTCTCAGCCCTATTTGCAGCCAACGGCCGAGGGGCTTCCTCCAACTTCCCTCGAGCTGCTGACCCCGGGCTTGGGGGGTGGGCCGTGTCTGTCCGACTCTCGGCACTGAGCTGGTCTAGGCAGGTCCAGACCCCCCATCTCCCCCAAGGACCCAGCAGGGCCCCACGCCCCCCTTGAACGAGACCTTGAGCCCCTTGAACGAGACCTTGAGCCGGGCCACTGGTGGCTCGCTCTGCCTGCAGGTGGGCTCTCGCTGGGCCTCCCCCCGGGACCCCTGCATCATTCACGAGTGCGTGCGCGTCAACGAGGAGGTCTTCGTGCAGCAGCAGAACGTCTCCTGCCCGCAGTTGGACGTCCAGGCCTGCCCCACGGGCTTCCAGCTGGCCTGCCACACGGAGGGCTGCTGCCCTGTGTGTCGCTGTGGTGAGCTGGGTGGGGGAGTGGGCAGGGCCCAGGGAGGTGGGCGGGGCCGTGGAGGTGGGCGGGGCCCAGGGGTGGGCGGGGCCCTGGCTCCCCACTGCTGTTACTGGGAGAAGGGGCGGGGTCCCAGGGGGTCGCTCAGCGCTGTGTCCACTTCTCTCTGCTCCCCCGTCCCACTGTGGACAGAGGAGGCTGGTCTGGGCCACCTTCCGTGAGTGAGAGGATGGAGACATCGGGACACCTCCTTCCCTCTCACCCACTCACTCATTCACTCATTCACATACTCGCTCAACCACGCCTGAACTCATTCACACTTCTCGCTTATTCACGCACTCATTCACTGGCATACTCATTCATTCATTCATTCACTCACACTCCTTTGCCAATTCACTCTCACCCTCTGCCAAGGGGCACTGTTCTAACGCCCAGTCCAGGCCCAGTCAACCAGCGCAAGACCAACCCCCACCTCTCTCCCTTCCTTTTCTGCTCTTCTTGCATCTCTGTCTTGCAATGTAGAGTTTGCCAAGGAGAATTAATTTCTTTATTTCCCTTCCTCCCTGCCCTTCCTCCCTTCCCTCCCTCTCTCCCTCTCATCCCTTCCTCTCTCTCTCCCTCCTTTTTTGTCTCTCTCCCTACCTCCCTCCCTTCCTCCTTTCCCTCTTTTCCTCTCTCTCTCCTTTCTCTCTCTCTCTTTCTTTCTTTCTTTCTTTCTTTCTTTCTTTCTTTCTTTCTTTCTCTTTCCTTCCCTCCTTTCCTTCCTTTCTCCCCTTCCTTTCTCTTTTCTTTCTCACTTTTCTTTCTTTCTCTCTTTTCTTTCTCACTTTCCTTCCTTCCACTCTCTCCTTCCTTCCTTCCTTCCTTCCTTCCTTCCTTCCTTCCTTCCTTCCTTCCTTCCTCTCTCTCTCTCTCTCTCTCTCTCTCTCTCTCTCTCCCTCCCTTCCTCTCTTCCTTCTCTTTCTTTCCCATCAACAGCCAAGACCCAGAGACTATAAAATCTTGCTCCTGGAAGCGAATGCAGCTGCGCAACATCTTATTATCTAGTTCTTACTCTGGAGAACTTGGCAGGCTACCAAAAGTATCCTGCCCACACAGCAGAGTCTGGTAAACTCCCTATGGCGTATTCAATATGCTGAAAACCAGTAACAATGATGGGTCTCATTCTCCTGACCCTGATAGAGCCTCGAATGTGGCACTTTTTAAAATCTCAGGGCTAGGATGAAGGAGACATTACTGGGGCCTGCTCGAGGCAATCGATGAACAACAGGATGACAGTGATACAGTGATTTCTCTTTCTTTGCTGCATCTTTGCTACTCCTACCTCTGTGCTCCAATATTCGCTACTGGCTGCTCTCAGGGGGTCTCTGGGGTGCTGGAGATGAAACCTAGACCTCAAGCATTTAAAGTGGATGCTCAGCTTATTATTCTCTCTCTCTGGTCCCTGGAACGTTATTCTTTCAGAAGCCCAGACTCTCCAACTCTCACTATCTGTGTGGGTTCCTTCAACAAAGCAAGTTCCTGGAAGACCCCCCAGAGCCCTCAGGGACTTGGGGGGATGAGGGGTTCCAGATGGGCGGGGTGGCCCCTAGGGAGCTGCCGTGGGTGAAATTCACCCTGTGACCCCCACACACCAGCCTGGGTGCTCCTCTCTCCCCAGAGCCTGTGCAAGCCTGCGTGCTCAACGGAACCATCATCGGGGTGAGCTGCTGACCTGTCCTGCCCCAGGAGGCGGGTAGGGGCAGGGGGAGTCGGGGAGCGGGCAGTGCTGAAAAGGGGATCCGCTCAGCCAGCACAAAGTCAGATATCAGGGGCTGGAGCAATAGCACAGCAGGTAGGGCGTTTGCCTTGTATGCGGCCAATCCAGGTTCGATTCCCAGCATCCCATGTGGTCTCCCAAGCACCGCCAGGAGTAATTCCTGAGTGCAGAGCCAGGAGTAACCCCTGAGCATCGCTGGGTGTGACCCCAAAAGAAAAACAAAGTCAGATACCTTCTCCAGAGATGCTGGAGCCACCCCCTTATTTTTCATCTGTAAGGCTCCCACCAAAACCCACTCGCCCTCGCTGTCCTGAGGTGGGACCCGAGGATGATCAGGGCTGTGGGGCTGGAAGCCTGAACCCCGCGCGTGTGTGTTTCCAGCCCGGGAAGAGCCTGATGATTGACGTGTGCACTTCCTGCCACTGCACCCTGGAGGAGGGCGTCGTGTCAGGGTTCAAGCTGGAATGCAGCAAGACCACGTGCAAGGCCTGCCCGCCGGTAAGGACTCGGGACGCATGGACCGGGCGGGCCAGGTGGGGTGTGTGTAGGACACGGCTGGACTTGTCGTCGGAGGAAGTGTGACAGAGCCACTGGCATACTTGGAGTCACCTGCCCAAATTGCCCCTCGTCGAAATGATTATCGGGGCGTTTTCCAGTTCCTGACATGCTCTTGCTGCATTTTATTTATTTATTTATTTATATTTATTTATGTACTTTTTTCTTTTTTGGTCACACCCAGCAATGAACAGGGGTTCCTCCTGGCTCTGAATTTAGGAATTATCCCTGGCGGTGCTCAGGGGACCCTATGGGATGCTGGGAATGGAACCCAGGTTGGCCACGTGCAAGGCAAATGCCCTCCCCGCTGTGCTATCACTCCAGCACAGAGGAGGAAGAAAATCAGAGGAAAATTCCCCTTTACTTCCCTCATTTCGCAGTGCTGTGGGGCTTGGCGTCTGGCAATTTGTCTGGAGGAAGTATAGATGCCCAGAGGTAGCGGAATGGACGACAGGTGTGGGTCCTACAGGAAGGTGCCCTTGAGACTCTTTGGGCCAGGAGCTCCTTTTCTCATCTGCAGTCCTCATGGCCTCGGCGTTGTTCTGAGAACGGTCTTGGAAAGATACACAGGGAGCAAATGCATCTATAGGGCCACAGTGAATTTTTTTTTTTTCTTAGGGAGAGGTGGTGATGGTGGTGGTAATTTGGGCCTCACCCACCCAATGTGCTCATAGGTTGTTCCTGATTCAGGAGCTACCCTGGAGTGTTTTTTTTTCCCCTTTTTTGGGTCACACCCAGCGATGGTCAGGGGTTACTCCTGGCTCTGCACTCAGGAATTACTCCTGGTGATGCTCGGGGGACCATATGGGATGCTGGGAATTGAACCCGGGTCAGCTGCGTGCAAGGCAAACATCCTACCTGCTGTGCTATCGCTCCAGCCCCAGGAGCGAGCCCTGGAGATCAAACCAGAGACCCCTTCACTGGAAGGTGAGCACCTTAGTCCCTGAAGAATATATTGCTCCAGTCTCGCTTCTGGTTGGATGCTCCAGAGACGATGTGCTTGCCTCCGTGAATTCAGATGCTAACTCCAGTTAAGGACCTGCTTCTCCCCGCTCCCTTTTTAAAAAATTAAAACAATCAAGTTGGGCCTAGAGAGATGGTGCAGTGGAAGGGCCCTTGCCTTGCATATGGCCGGCCCCAGTTGGATCCTTGGCATCTTGTATGGTCCCCTGAGCACTACAGGAGTGACCCCTGAGAGCAGAGTCAAGGGTACGCCCTGTGGGGCTGGAGTGATAGTACATTGGGTAGGGCATTTGCCTTGCACGAGGTCGACCCAGGTTTGATTCCCAGCATCCCATATGGTCTCCCAAGCATCGCCAGGATCCTGAGTGCAAAAGCCAGGAGTAATCCCTGTGCATCGCCGGGTGTGACCCCAAAGGCCAAAAAAAAAAAAAAAGAGTAAAAAAAGAGTATGCCTTGAGCACTGTTTGGTGTGGCCTCCAAACCAAACCAAACCAAACTAAACAAAAAAACTCAGTTAGTGTTTAAGTGTTTGGGATGTGCTGGTGTGTGTGTTTGATGTTACATGTAACACACTTCCACCCCTCGCCCCTGAATACTTACATCTGGGCTTGAGTGGGGAGTTGCATCCATGCTGCCTCAGAGAGCACTGAGCAGTGAGGATCAAGGGGGAGAGAAAGGGGACCAGGGGATTAATCTCCATGTGGTTCAGCCTTGGAGGGAGCTGCAGCCTGCCAGCTCAGAAGGTGATACAATTTTCTCCACCCTCCACAACGGTTTTATTTTTCTTTTTAGAATATTTTATCATTTATTTATTTATTTTGCTTTTTGGGTCACACCCGGCGATACACAGGGGTTCTTCCTGGCTCTGCACTCAAGAATTACTCCTGGCAGTGCTCGGGGGACCCTATGGGATGCTGGGAATTGAACCCAGGTCGGCCATGTGCAAGGCAAACGCCCTCCCCACTGTGCTATCACTCCAGCCCCTCCACATCGGTTTCTAAATACCTTTGCATCAACCTGGTCAAGATCCTCTGCCAGAAAAAGCTTCACGGAGGCCTCCTACGGATTGGGAGTGTCGGGTAGTGGAGAGAGCAGCTCTGCTGGAAGGGCTTTCGTTAGGATAAAGTGTGGGCGTCGCCATCAACACCTGGTGTCACAGAACCCATCTTGCTTCCAAAGCAGACAATTTTTCCTGAGACAAGGCCTGCAGAGGGTGGCATGCCCTGGTGGATGGTATCAAGGAACATTAAGGGAGAGATGACATGGAGTGTCGAAAAGGCATCCCGAGGGACACGACCCCACGCTTACCTTGAGTCTTGGCTTGAGTGTCGACTTTTTTTTTTTCTTTTCTTTTTGGGTCACACCCAGCGGTGCTCAGGGGTTCCTCCTGGCTCTGCACTACTCAGGAATTACTTCTGGCGGTGCTCAAGGGGACCCTGTGGGATGCTGGGAATTGAACCCGGGTTGGCCGCGTGCAAGGCAAATGCCCTACCTGCTGTGCTAGCACTCTGGCCCCTGAGTGTCGACTTCTTCCAGGGGGAGAAATGGGGAGGAATTGAGCCACTGAGAGAGATGCAGGAGAGACAAGACCAGAAGGTCTTGAGCAAAAGTCCAGTTTACAACATGGAGTCCAAGAAGTGCCTCGGCCCCAGGTTTAGGGGATGGCTGTCCTGGAGGGGAGGAAGGCAGAGCTCACTGTGGGGGGTGGGGAACGGTTCCCCATAGTGCTCTCGCTGGCTGACTGGGAACCTGGGTCCACAGGCTGAGGAAGGGGCCACTCCTATCTGACTGTTCCACCTTAGGCCACCTGGAACTATTCTTTGCCTATGGCAGCCTACGGACGCGTGAAGGCGTCCACGGTGACCGGCCTCTGTCACATGTGAAGCTGTGTTCCTCCGCCAGGTAGACCATGACTGGAAGGGCTATTCCCTTTAATGTGTGAGTGGGTTCTGCAGTGGACAGCTTCATGCACTCCTAAAATCATGGTCCCTTCTACTCCCTTCCACACCCTCTTACCCCTCTGGTTCTTCCTCCAGTCACGCCTGGCCTCTGTCTTTTCTTGCTCTTTGTCTGCCTAGTGGTGTGTGTGTGTGTGTGTGTGTGTGTGTGTGTGTGTGTGCGCGCGCGCGCGCATCTGTGTATCTCTCTGTGTGTCTGTGTGTGTAGGGAAGTGTAGGGGTGGGGAATGAATTCAAACATCATTGTGTCTTTTGAAGACTTAAGAGTTTTCAATTTTCATAAAGGTTAGCTTATCAATGTTTACTTTTTTTTTCTTTCTTTTTTTTCTTTTTTTATAGGTTGTGACTTTCATTTCCCATTTAAGAAATTCTGGTCTACTTTAAGATCAGAAAGAGATTCCTTTATGTTTCATTGGAGAAGTACTATTGTTTTCATGTCTATGAACCACCAGGAATTAATGTTTCTGTGTTTAAAAAGTAACTGTGTGCAGTAGGGATTGAGGTGATTCCTGCCTCCTGCCCCAATGCAGTGACTAGTGTTTCCACCATCATTGGTTCCAAGTCTGCCCTTTCCTTAGTGGGTTTAGTTGGCGCCTTTGTTTAAAAAAAAAAAATGAATGGACTGAAAGTTGAAAACGCTGGAGCTGGCTCTGCGTGTGCCCTTCTGTGGCTCCACGCTCTTTCCTGATCTCCTGGCTGAGTTCCCTGGCCTCCCGCCCCTGGTGAGCTCCACACATTGTCTTGATTACTGGAGCTTTATAGTTAAGTCCTGAAACCAGAAGTGGAAATCCTTCAACCTTTCTTCTTTTTTCAAGATTGTTTTGTCTATCTTAGGTCCATTCCCTTTCCCTATAAATTTGCAGCCATCTCCTCCAGTTTTATAGAAACGTGCTTTCATTGGAGGTGTGCGGGACTGTTTTGAATCCATCTGGAAAGCGTGGGCCTCTTGGCAATATGGTCATACTTAGCACATGCCTCCATTATGGAGACCTTTACTATTCGTCTGTGGTCATTTGTGGGGTTTAATGTAGGTGTCTTGCACACAGTTTGTTAAACATGATTCCCTACTTTTTATATGTTTTGGATAATATTGTAAAAGAACGTTTGTTTTCACTTCTTCCTTTGCAGTATATTTTCCTTTTTTTTCTCTTTCATTGGCTGTTACCTGCAGGCTAATGCTGACTAGATGCATTGAGGGTGTTTTGTTTCTGACCAGGGAGAGAATTAATTCAACATTTCATCATTAAATAGGAAATCTGTGTGCCTTTTCTCCAATTGAAGACTCTCTCTTATATCCCTTATTTAATGGAGCACCTTTTCTTTTTCTGGAATGGGTATTGAATTTTGTCAGGCAGTTTTACTTTCATAGAAAGATGATCGTATGATTTTTTCCCTTCATTCTGTTAACAAGAGGAATTGCATTGATTGATTTTAGATTGCCAACTGCCTTTCATTCTTTTGATAAATCCCATTTGCCATGATGTGTTATCCCTTTTAATTTAATCTGCTGTAAGATCCTTTTGCCAACATTGCATTAAAGATTTTTTTAAATCTATGATCAAGAATGACAGGTCTCTAATTTATTTCTCTTTGAACACATCTGTGAGGTTTTGGTACCAGCGCCATGCTGGAATCAATAAGAGATGTCAGACTTGTTTCCTCTTCTCTTCTATTGACCGAAGAGTTTATGTGAGATTGCTATTATATCCTCCAAATTTAAAAATATTTATTGCTGCAATTTTATTTTATTTTATTTTTGGGTCACACCCAGCAATTCACAGGGGTTACTCCTGGATTTGCACTCAGGAATTACGCCTGGCAGTGCTCAGGGGACCATATGGGATGCTGGGATTCGAACCTGAGTTGGCCACGTACAAGGCAAACGCCCTACCCGCTGTACTATCGCTCCAGCCCCTATTGTTGCTATTTTATAAGAGTACCGATATTATTGTTTCGTGTTTGTGGTGCTGCTGCATTCTGTTTACCAATCCTATGGTCCCTCCCTCAGCTTCCTCTCTTAGCATCCTTAACGCATAGTTCTCTTGACCATATCTCAAGGTTCGTTTCCATTGAGGATGGTCTAATCCCTTGCTCTATTTCTTTGTACACTGTGTATTAATGAGAGCATCTGGCATTTGCCTTTTTCTTGTCTTTCTGTTTTCTGTTTGGGGGCCACACCAAGTGACGCTCAAGAGTTACTCCTCACTTTGTACTCAGGGATCTCACCTGGCGGGGTTTGGGGGACCATAAGGGATGCTGTGGATTGAGCCTGGATTTATGTATACAAGGCAAGTGCCCTACCCACCATACTCTTTCCGACTCACTTCACTTAACAGGACTCCTTCCAATTCCATCCAAGTTGTAGAAAATTGCAAGATTTCATCTTTCCTCAGAGCTGAGTAGTATTCCAGTGGGTGTTTATACTACAATTTCTTTGTCTGGTCCTCTATTGCTGGACACTTGGGTGTGTCCAGATCTTGGTGAATAACATCAATTCACTTGTATCACTTGTCATCCCATTGCTTATCGATTTGCTCGAGCTGACGCCAGTAACATCTCCATTCGTCTCTCCCAAGTGCTAGTGTAGCCCAATGGCATCTGCTTGCTCCAGGAACACAAAAAGCATCAAACTATTCATTCAGGGTCTTGAGAAAGAAGTCCAACCATCTCATAGGTGGGCGGCCAGGCGTTCTTTTGACATCCCGTGGGATCCAGTCCGTAACGGCTCTAGTCCAGCGGTTGTCTTCAGATTGCATTACATACCCAGCCCATCTGATTTTTGACATCTTGGTAAACGAGACAGCGTCCCTGATCCTCGATCATCAATGGAGGTTGGAACTCCGGATTCCTTCTCTCACTTGAGTGAAGCATGATACTCTAAGCATAGCATACCATATAAAGAATAGCATAGCATACCTATGAAGAACATAAGTGTGTCAATGGCCTTCAGATTCAGGTTTGTGTGCTCTTGGTGTAGTAGATGCCCAGGAGTGGACATGCTGGGACATGTGGAATTTTTAACTTTTGAGACATCTCCAAACTTTCCTTCAGAGGAATTGAGCCTAACTCTAGTCCCCCCAGCAGTGGATAAAAGTTCTTTCTTTTTTCCTTTATGGCCCACCAACAATCACGTTACTTTGATGGACTTTTTGATTATAGACCAATCTCACTGGCGTGAGGCCACTGTCTTTCTGAGATTTTTGATAAAATTCACCAATTAATCCTCAGGTCTGACTTTTCAGGTGGAAAGTTTTGTACTAAAAAATTAAAATTTGGGCCGGAGAGATAGTAGAGTTGGTAGGGTGCTTGCCTTGCATGTGGCTGACCTGGGTCCAATCTCCATATGGTCCTCCGAGCCCCACAAGGAGTAATTTCTTAGTGCAGAGCCAGGAATATGCATTGAACATTGCCAGGCATAGCTAAAACACAAAAAACAAACATTTTAAAATTGGGGCCAGAGAGATAGTACAACAGGAAGGGCGCTTGCTTTGCATGCCCTCAACCCAGGGTGAATCCCTGGCATGCCATATGGTCCCCTGAGAACTGCTAGGAGTAATTTCTGAGTGCAGAGCCAGGATTAACCATTGAGCATCATTGGGTATGGCCCCCAAACAAACAAACAAACAAACAAACAAAAATTAAAATTTGTAAACAAAATGGAGTCCTTAGGGTTTTTTTTTTTTAATTTCTTCTTGAGTTGGCTAAATATTTTTCATGGAATTTGTTTATTTTAACTAAGCTTATTCGCATAAAATTTTGGGCTGGAGCGATAGCACAGTGGTAGGGTGTTTGTCTTGAAAACAGCTGGCCAGTCAAGTCGGGTTCTATTCCTCTGCCCCTCTTGGAGAGCCCAGCAAGCTACCAAGAGTATCTTGCTCGCACGGCAAAGCCTGGCAAGCTACCCGTGACGTATTCGATATACCAAACACAGTAACAAGAAGTCTCATAATGGAGAAGTTACTGGGCCCACTCGAGCAAATAGATGAACGACGGGAGGACAGTGCTGCAGTACTACATAATATCTTCCTTATGCCTCCTGAATACTTTTAATATCTGTGTCCTTTGTAGTTATGTAAAGGTTGTCATTCTTAAATTGGTAATCTGTATTTTTTCTTGACAAGTCAAATTAGAGATCTATTATCTTTATCTTTTCAAAGGTTTTAAAGATCTGAAAAACAAAACTATTTTAGTCATTTTAACCTTTGATTATATTTCTCTTCTATTATTATTTCTGTTACTTTTATTTTTTCCCTACTTCTAGTTACTGTGGGTTTTTACTAATTTCTTAAGATTGAAACTTAGATCATTTTTTTTTGTTTGCCTTTTGGGTCACACCCGGCGATGCTCAGGGGTTACTCCTGGCTCATGCACTCAGGAATTGCTCCAGGCGGTGCTCAGGGGACCATATGGGGTGCTGGGAATCGAACCTGTGTCGGTCATGTTGGCTGTGTGCAAGGCAAACGCCCTACCCGCTGTGCTATCGCTCCAGCCCCTAGATCATGTTTTAAACAACTTCTTAGCATAAAACATTTTACCATGAGGGACATGCTGATGAGACGTGATTCTTTTCTTTCTTTCCTTCCTTCTTTCTTTCTTTCTTTCTTTCTTTCTTTCTTTCTTTCTTTCTTTCTTTCCCTTTCTTTTTTTCTTTTTCTTTTTCTTTTTCTTTTTTTTGCTTTTTGGGTCACACTCAGCGATGCACAGGGTTACTCCTTGCTCATGCACTCAGGAATCACTCCTGGCGGTGCTCGGGGGACCATATGGGATGCTGGGAATCGAACCCGGGTTGGTTGCGTGCAAGGCAACCACCCTACCCGCTGTACTATCACTCCAGCCGCCTCTTTTCTTTCTTTTGAAGAATGTTAAAACTGATTTTTAGCTGGTGACTAGATTATTCTAAGTACAGTACACTTCATACTCAAGAAAGCTAGATTTTAAGCTATCTTGCGAGCCTCTATTTCAGTATTCCTCTTGTCTAAAGGTGAATTTTTCTGTCTTGTTATCTCATCTTCATTACTAAGGTTTGGCCTTTCTGAAATGTTAGTGGAAACCTGAACTCTTTGTAGCCCCTCGAGCTTGGTGGGAAGCAGGCTGTAAACTATCGTCCTTCTACGTTGTGTCGCAGCTGGAAATTTTGCTCAGTTTGCTCTGATGTTTACCTCTCACTTTTTTTTTCTCCCCAGAGATCCTTTGAGCCTCCCCCATGCTTTTATAGATCAGGGCTCAATCAAATATTTGAATGACTTTTTTGTGCATGGTCTTGGGTATTCTTTTCTGACTTCCTGAGATTTGCCCCTTCCGTTTCCAGCTTTTCAAGACATTTCAAACTCTGTCCCCTGACTCATCCGGTAAATAAAAATGACAGATTTGTGCTTGATTTCCAGTTGTCTCATGACACACAATCTGTCTTCATTGAGAAATCCACTTAAATATGAAGAGCACTGTAGCACTGCACTGTCCTCCTGTTGTTCATCGATTTGTTCGAGTGGGCCCAGTAACATCTCCATTGTGAGACTTGTTGTTACTGTGTTTGGCATGTTGAATACGTCATGGGTAGCTTGCCGGGCTTTGCTGTGTGGGCGAGATACTCTCGGTAGCACAGCGGTAGGGTGTTTGCCTTGTGCACAGCTGGCCCGGCTGAGCCGGGTTCCATTTCTCTGCCCCTCTCAGAGAGCCTGGCAAGCTGCCGAGAGTATCTCGCCCGTGCGGCAAAGCCTGGCAAGATACCCGTGATATATTCGATATGCCAAACACAGTAACAACAAGTCTCACAATGGAGACGTTACCGGGCCTGCTGGAGCAAATCGATGAACAATGGGAGGATCATGACTGTGACTGTGACATAGTAATCCATTGTGTAGATAAATATGAATATCACTTCTTATTTCAATGATCAAATTTTCTAGGGTTTATCCTTGATTTGGGCTACCCAGTGTCTTTACATAATTGTCTTAAATATTTTGTTAGGGCTGGAGCGATAGCATAGTGGGTAGGGCATTTGCCTTGCATGCGGCCAACCTGGGTTCGATTCCCAGCATCCCATATGGTCCCCTGAGCACCACCAGGAGTAATTCCTGAGAGCATGAGCCAGAAGTAACCCCTGTGAAATGCCAGGTGTGACCCAAAAAAGCAAGAAAAACATTGTTAGTAGTTTATAATTGTTATGTGCAGAAGTTTCGTGTAAGTTTAATATATAAAGTATAACTATAATATAAATATAAGGTTTTAATATAAACTACTCTGCCATTACATGGGGAAACATCTGGTAGAAGGGCATAAATCAATATTTGAAGACAAATCAATATGATTACAGAGTCCATTGTAGGATATATTTACTTGAACTAGGGTGTGTCAGAGTTACTTTGGTTGTGACCAAACGGTGGATGAGTTTGAAATGCACTTTTCTAAATTTTGTGTTGAGAAAAATGGAAGAGTCATGGATGACTCCCAGATTTCTGGCTTGAGCAACTTGGAGATAAAGACCATTCACTGAGATAGGAGAATGATTGGAAAAACTGAAGAAGGATTAGGTTTGGGGGAGGAAAAGGTCAAGCTCTAATTTGGACACAATTCTTGAAATGCCAGTTAAATAAACAACTGAATCTGTATGTCTGGAGCCCAGGGGGAGGTGTGATGGAGAGTTCAGGTTATAGGAGGGTAAGCAGTGTCAGCAGGTGGAGGGAGGGAAAGCTGTCTTGGGGACATGTGATGAAGTTGGGTGTTGGCATTCTAAGATCTAGTAAATTGCTGGGAGAGAAAGATGAGAGACTGGCAAAATGAATCTAACTGGCCTCAGGTGGGAGTATCACTAAGCCTGTTGTTTCTCCTGGAGCCAGGCCTACGAGGAAGAGAAGGTCCAAGGAGAATGCTGTGGAAGGTGCCTGCCGACAGCCTGCACCATTCAGCTTCGGGGAGGACAGACCCTCACACTGAAGGTGGGAGCATAGGAACTCCACTTCCTGTCACCATCCACTTCCTGTTTGGGGATTTTTTCCTTCAAGAGAATGGGACAAAATTTTTCTTTGGCAAACTTTGGGTGCATCTCAGCTTCATTTTGATTTTGCAAAGAGAAGATGGCTCACTCGGAGAAGGCATAGACCTTCATCTTTTGGTGATTGTGTCATTCTTCTCAACAAGAGGGTAGTTGGTGGATGGTCCCATGACTTGGAGTTGGTTGATATTTTTTTTAATGTAGGAGTACTGCTATTTATTCAGCCACTGATTAACTGATTGAATTGTGCATGAACTCCACCTTACATATTTTTTTCATTTTTTATAATTTTATTTATTGAATCACTGTGAGAGCAGTTACAAAGCTTTCGGGTCTAAGTCTTGGTCATACAATGAAATACCCACACCTTCACCAGTGCCCATTCTCCACCCCCAACAACCCCAGTATACCCCCCTCCCACACCCTCCCCCTACCTGTGGGGCAGATAATTTCCACATTACTCTCTCTCTACTTTGATCACATTCAGTATTTTGAGATTTTATCCCAACACTCAGATCTGCTGAAAAGGCAACAGTAGACAATTTGTTTTCTATTGCTGGTTATGAATAACATATGATGTTGCGTGGCTGCAGTAGTGGCCAAGCGATTTTGAAATTTTGAAATTTTAACACTTAAATATGGAGGGATTTCTGCCAAAAAAATTGCTGGGTTCCGAGATTTGCTCTGAGTCTCTGGGATCATGGCCATTAAGCAGCTTGATCAGGAGCCAGAGAGGTCGTTTGTGGGCGATGACTTAGGGTCTCGTTGGGGTGAGGAGGACAGGACGGCTCTGCCCCCATCCCATGAGGTCCAACGTGTCTCGTCACTGTGCGCCCAAGCCTGACTGTCCAATGGCCTCTGGAGGATGGCGGCCACCGAACCACCAAGGGGGAGTAGGAAGAGTGACAACACCCTTTCTCCCCTGGGGTGACGCGGCGACAGTGACCTACTGTGGGGCCTGGACACATTTCTGCCGAAAGCCGCTGGGTTTCGAGATTTGTTTCTGAGCCTCTGGGATCATGGTCGTTAAGCAGCTTGATCAGGAGCCAGAGAGGCCGTTTGTGGGTGATGACTTGGGGTCTTGTTGGAGTGGGGAGGACAGGACCGGCTCCACCCCCATCCCATGAGGCCCTGCGTATCTCATCACTGCTGGCCCAAATCTGACTGTCCAGTGGCCTCTGGAGGATGGTGGCCACTGGGCCGTCAGGGGGAACAGGCCAAGGCACGAAATCTATTCCCACCTGGGTTGGCCCAGCATAGTAACCTACTGCAGGGACTGGACACATTTCTGCCAAAAGCCTCAGGGTTTCGAGATTTGTTTCTGAGTCTCTGGGTTCATGGCCATTAAGCAGTTCAATCAGGAACCAGAGAGGCCATGCCTCCAATTATATAGCTGAGCTGGAGGTGGTTTGTGGGTGTGTCTCCCACATACCTAACTTTTGGCCATTTACTTTCTTGGTAAACTTTGCCCCAAGTTTTTGGGGTCTGGCCAAAGGCACAGCAGCAATTTTGGGGTATCTGGAAGTCTGAAGGCGCCATCAGGCTGCTGATGCACTCGCCTCACAGGTACAGATTGACCTGCTGCGGCACCATACCCCCAGGAGTTGGTTGAGATTTTAGATTTTTTTCCCAGCTTTGATTTGTCAGTGAGACTGGACAAGCAATCAGGGTGAAGTAAACTCTGACCTATGAAAGTCTGAATTTGCTGGTGACGCAGGCACTATCACCCAAGAGTAACACTCTTGTTCAGATCTTGATTATGATTATGATGTTAGCTCTTCCTGTGCATTCAGTCATGAGGGTTCCAAGTGGCCCGGAGGTCCTGGGGACACACTCTATTTATGCATCTGTTTCTAGTAAATGTATTGGACAACTGGGATTCCATCTCTAGTCTATTTCCTGGGTGTGTAGATGCAACCCTGTCTCTCTTTTGTTCCAAACTCCTCCAAGGAGTCAAGATCATGGTTTGAAGAAACCTTGGAACCCAAGTATTTTCTTGGAGTGTGCCCTACTCACTTATGCTCACTCCTTCCTTCTTCCTTCCTTCCTTCCTTCCTTCCTTCCTTCCTTCCTTCCTTCCTTCCATCCTTCCTTCCTTCCATCCTTCCTTCCTTCCTCCCTTCCTCCCTTCTTTCCTTCCTTTCTTCCTTCCTTCTCTTCGTTCTTCCATCCCTTCCTTTCTTTTTTCCTTCTTTCCTCCCTCCCTCCTTTCCTTCCTTCCTTCCTTCCTTCCTTCCTTCCTTCCTTCCTCCCTCCCTCCCTTCCTTCCTTCCTTCCTTCCTCCCTTCCTCCCTTCCTCCCTTCCTCCCTTCCTTCTTTCCTTCCTTTATTTCCTCCCTCCCTACCTCCTTCCCTCCCTATCTTCCTCCTTTTTTTCCTTCCTTCCTTCCTTCCTTCCTTCCTTCCTTCCTTCCTTCCTTCCTCTTTCCCTCCCTCCTTTCCTCTCTTTCTTTCTTTCTTTCTTTCTTTCTTTCTTTCTTTCTTTCTTTCTTTCTTTCTTTCTTTCTTTCTTCTTGTCATACCTGGTAATGCTCAGGGGTTGCCTCTTGCTTCTGCACTCAGGAATTACTCTTGGTAGTGCTCAGGGGCCCATATGGGATGCTGGGAATCCAACCCGGGTTGCCCGCATATAAGGCAAACTGTACTGTACTACTGCTGTACTACACTCCGGCCCCACTTCTGCTCTTTCCTTTCAGCGTGATGAGACACTTCAGGATGGTTGTGACACCCACTTCTGCAAGGTCAATGAGAGAGGAGAGTACATCTGGGAGAAGAGGGTCACGGGCTGCCCTCCCTTTGATGAGCAGAAGTGTCTGGCCGAGGGGGTGAGTGGCGGAGCTCAGGCTCTGCTTTCCCCAGTCAGCCTCCACTTTCCATTCTCAGAACAGGGTCCCAGGCAACAGCACGCAGTGCAGCTCTCACGGGATTTTTCAGGGGCTCGGGGAGGTCCTTGACTTATTTTGAAATTTTTTTGAAACTGTAATATCAAAGTTGGACAGAGAGACAAAAACGTTATGCTCCACAGTGCTTCAGAGAACTATAAGCTTCCCCTCCCAGGCCCCAGGAGACTGAATCTCAGATCCTTGCGTGGGCCTGTGGAACATGAATGGATTTCCATGCTCCTCTGGGAATGCTTATCCCACAGACAAAATTGGGAGCGATTGAGCATAATCGGGATGGTTTCAGTCTGCGCAGGCGGGGAGATCTGTCTGCTCAAATTTGTCCTGGGAAACCATGGTTCAGGTCTGGGGACATAAACTCAGGGCCGTGAGCCCAGAGATCTGCAGTGACCTGTGTCCTTTTTGTGCCTAACCTGAGGGTTTTCTGTTTGTTTAGGGAAAAGTCTTGAAAATACCCGGGACCTGCTGTGACACCTGTAAGTACATCCCTAGTCGTTGTTCTTGCAAACCATCAGACCAAGTGCAGGTACTGATCTTTGGAGTCAGCTTAATCAATTGCCATTTCTCCATCATTGGCCTGTGATCATGATCAATGGGAATAGTTCTTGAATGTCCTCTTAGATTTCCCCTGGCTTAGACCTTTCAAAAGACAATTGCATGGTCTCCTCCCTGATTCCCTTTTTTTTTTTCCTTTTGGTTCACACCCGGTGATGCACAGGCATTACTCCTGGCTCTGCACTCAGGAATTATTCCTGGCGGTGCTAGGGGGACCATATGGGATGCTGAGAATCGAACCCGGGTTGGCCGAGTGCAAGGCAAACGCCCCACCCACTGTGCTATCGTTTCAGCCCCCCTGATTCCCTTCTTATTGCCTAGCCTTGAGTGATCTTTTCCCAGATAGAATCTGAGTTGCTCATAGAGAATTATCTCCTCTCTTCAACGAGAGTTCCTTGAAGACAGACTCACTTGATCCATATTGAGAAAGCAGATACTAAGTACACTTTCCCTTATTTTTGCTAGTTGGGCCACACCCTCTGTGCACAGTGATCACTCCTGGCAGTGCTGGGGGACATACATGGTGCCGGGGATCAGACCCCAATTGGCCATGTGCAAGGCAGGTACCTTACTGTATTATCTCTCTGGCTCCACATTTCTTCTTCTTCTTCTTCTTTTTTTTTTTTGCTTCTTGAGTCACACCCAGCAATGCTCATGGTTTGCTCCTGGCTCTGCACTCAAGAATTACTCCTGGCAGTGCTTGGAGGACCCTATGGGATGCTGGGGATTGAACCTGGGTTGGCTGCGTGCAAGACAAACACCCTACCCGCTGTACTATCACTCCGGCCCTGCCCACATTTATTCTTTATGGGATGTCAGCCAGGTATTTTGGGCATGAAGAAGACTAACCAGTTAACATTTGCCCCCACTATGTTCTGTGGGGCTATAAAGAACATTGCCCTCTCTAGGATTTGTAAGGCGGGTCTAAGTTGGTCCTCTTTCCTGCTCACACTTGGCCTCTCTTGACCCTGCAGCTAGGTTACAGAGATTGATCCCAGTAGCTCACAGCAGAAGCTCTGGAGATGCATCCCACAAGCCTGCATACCAAAAGGACACTTCACACATCTCCCTGGTTCATGCACACTCATGACTTTCAGAATCCTAATGTCAATGCAACCTTTCCTACAGAGAATGATGGCTTGCCTGGGTTAACGAATGACTTTTGGTTTGTTTCTCATTTAGTTTCCTTCCCTTTATTTTGTTTCGCTCCTTTTGGGGAGTGGGTATAGGGAGAATGAGAATGTGTGTCTCTTTAAAGTTTTTTTAATTTTATTTTTTTAATTTTAATTTTAATTAATTAATTAATTAATTTTTTTTGCTTTTTGGGTCAGACCTAGCAATGCTCAGGGTTTGCTCTTGGCTCTGCACTCAGGAATCACTCCTGGCGGTGCTTTGGAGGACCATATGTGATGCTGGGGATCGAACCCGGGTCAGCCACGTGCAAGGCAAACATCGTCCCCGCTGTACTATAACCCCAGCCCTCAAAGTTTTTTAATTTTTTAAAAATATTTTAAAATGAATTCCCATGAGATGCAGTTACAGAATCATCACTGTGTGTCCCTTTGATGGTTAGTCATTGAGTGTTTACTCTGATGGTTCTGAAAACCAATTCCTGCGACCAAATTGTGATAGGTGGAGATCAGAGACCCAGAAAGCATCTTTCTAGCATCTCTTTTTGAAGGGTTTAAGTGTGTCAAGTCAGGACTTGGTCAGAGAAGATGAATTCTCTTCAGTGTACCACACGTGGAACTGGGCAAGGAGACCACTCTCTGCAAAATTAACAAGGGGTGTTTGTTGGTCCAGGAGGTTGGCCTGTTGAGAGGCCCCTCCAAAGGGTGACAGACCAGGCTTAGGGGCTGAAATCAATAGCCAGGGAATACAGCCTGTTGACCCCAATGTTTGCAAATTTATTAGTTCTCTTCATATCCTTGGCAGGCTTTCACTTCTCAATGAAATTACTTGGAAGTGGAACGATTCCAATATGTAGTTAGCATTGACTTAGATTTGGAGCCATCCAAATCTAAAGGAAAAAACTCCCAGGCTCTGAAGGGGTGGGGTAGGGCATGCTGAGGCTGGCATTCAGTCTCAGAACTCTAAAAATCTTGGTGCGCCAAGTGTAGAATTTAGATCTGATTGCCACTAACCCCTGGTTGGAAGGAAGCACAGTCCAGTGACCAGACAAGACAGTGCCCAGAGAGAAGAGTCCATTGTGGTGGGGGTAGGGAGGGAAGTTCCCGAGAATCGTCTTGGCAGTGGCTGTTCTTATGTGACCGTGACATTGGCCTTGCCTCTTCTCTATAGGCAGGAGTGGATAGAAATTAATTCTACTTATTGGCTATTTTCATTGCTCACGAGCTTCTGGATATAGTTATAAGCATAAGAGAGTGGCATTAGCTGCCCTCATGATTGGATATTTAGAGTCTGCAACTGTGTAAAAGCCAATATCCATCCATCTCCCTCATCAAGGCTTGGGGAATCTAGGCTACGCCTGCAATTAAGATGGCCCCGATAAGTGAGTTAAACCCAGTGTCAGCTCTGCCTCTGGACAGGAAGGGCTGGGGCCAGCAGAAGTGAACGGGAGAATTTCACTCTGCTCCCTCTGTGTGGGCGGGAAGGGGTACCACAGAAGCCCGGCTGGCCCCCCAGATCCCCACTCTCACCCGTTCTGTAGGTGAGGAACCTGAGTGCAAGGACATCACTGCCAGGCTGCAGTATGTCAAAGTGGAGAGCTGTAAGTCGGAAGTGGAAGTGGACATTCATTACTGCCAGGTGAGGGTCTTGGCTTCAGAAGGACCCTGCTGGTGGGAGTGGGGGAGAGTGAGCATCCTTAGCTGTTCGCTTCTCTTGTGTTGCATGTTGAAGGAGCGAGAAATTCACAGGAAAAAGAAGTGGAAGTAGAAGCAAGACAAGTAGCCTCCTTGTCTTCCTCCTCTTCTTCTTCTTCTTCCTCCTCCTCCTCCTCCTCCTCCTCTTCTTCTTCTTCTTCTTCTTCCTCCTCCTCCTCCTCCTCCTGCTCCTCTTCTCCCTCCTCCTTCTTCTTTTCTTCCTCTTCCTCTTCCTCCTCTTCTTTCTCCTTCTCCTTTTCCTCCTTCCTCCTCCTTTTCTTCCTCCTCCTCTTCCTCCTCTCCTTCTCTTCCTCCTCTTTTTTCTCTTCCTTGTCCTCCTCCTCCTCTTCCTCCTCCTTTCTTCCTTCTCCTCCTCTTTCTCCTCTTCTTCTTCCTCCTCCTCCTCTTCCTTCTCTTCCTCTTCCTTCCTTTCTTCCTGCTCCTCTTCCTTCGCCTGCTCTTTCTTCTCCTCCTCCTCTTCCTCCTCCTCTTCTTCTTCCTCCTCCTCCTCTTCTTCTTCCTCCTCCTTATCCTGTTCCTCCTCTTTTTCCTTATTATTTTTAGGCTACACCTGGAAGTACTCATTTTAAAAATGAATCACTGTGAGATGGACCCTTACAAGGCTGTTCATGATTAGATTTCAGCCCTACAGTGTTCCAACACCCATCCCTCCACCAATGTAAATTTCCCAGCACCGGTGTCCCCAGGTTCCCTCCCATCACCCCCACCCCTCACCCCTACACACACACACACACACAACCTGCCTCTATGGCAGGCACTTTTCTCCTCTTTTCCTCTGTCCTTGTTTCTGTCTCTCTCCTTTTGGTCATTGTCACTGTCACTGTCCTCCTGTTGTTCATCGATTTGCTTGAGCGTTTGCAATATAGATATTTACAGGTTATCTGGAATATCCCTTTACCTTTTAACACTCAGTTCTTGTCCAGCTAGATCATTCCAAACTATTATTGTCATATTGGTTCCTTCTCATCTTACCTGCCCTCTGTTCCCTCTGCCCGACACACACTTGTGATAGATTCCAACCATTGACCAGTCCTCCAAGGCCAGAGAGAACAGGGGTAGGAGGCCCGGGCAATTAGGAACTTTAAAAACAAAGAAGAGGAGACCAGAGACACCAGCACCTCCTTTGCAGAGGCTGCAGTGTTCCTTCAAGACCCCGGGCGTGGGCACCGCGTGGGGGGAGGGGTCTGGAGGGAGACTGCGCTGGCATCTGGGGGGCTGTCCCTTTTCACAGACACCCCCCTCCCCCCAAGCTGGGTTTCCCGGCTGCAGATGGGGCACAGGGCCCCTCAGGGAGGCTGACGCTGCTCTCCCGCAGGGCAAGTGTGCCAGCAAGGCCGTGTACTCCATCGACACGGAGGACGTGCAGGACCAGTGCTCCTGCTGCTCGCCCAGCCGCACGGAGCCCATGCGGGTGCCCCTGCGCTGCACCAATGGCTCCGTCGTCTACCACGAGATCCTCAACGCGCTGCAGTGCAAGTGCAGCCCCCGGAAGTGCAGCAAGTGAGGCCGCCGCGCCCCTGGACGGGCGACCCCTCTCCAGGACGCTGCTTGGCTCCCCCTGCACGCTCGGTCTCGTGGGCCCTCCTGGCCCCCAATAAAGGCCGCGCTCTTTTGCAAAAGCCTAGTGGTGGAGTGTGTGTGGTTGTGTGTGTGTGTGGTTGTGTGTGTGTTTGTGTGTGAGGGGTTGTGTGTGTGGTTGTGTGTGGTTTTGTGTGTATGTGCTTATGTGTGTGTGGTTGTGTGTGCTTGTGGTTGTGTGGTTGCGTGTGGTTGTATGTGTGCATGGTTGATGTTTGTGTTGTTGTGTGTGGTTATGTGTGTGGTTGTGTGTTTGTGTGTATGTGGTTGTGTGTGGGGTTTGTGTGTGTGGTTGTGTGTGGGCATAGTTGTGTGTGGTTGTGTCTGTGGTTTTGTGTGTATGAGCTTATGTGTATGGGGTTTTGTGTGAGGGGTTGTGTGTGGTTGTGTGTGATTGTATGTGTGCATAGTTGTGTGTTTGTGTGTTCGTGTGTATGGTTGTGTGTGTGGTTGTGTGTATGGTTGTGTTTGTGGTTGTGTGTATGTGGTTGTGTGTGGGGGTTGTGTGTGTGGTTGTATGTGTGCATAGTTGTGTGTGTGGTTGTGTCTGTGTGGTTGTGTGTGTAGTTTTGTGTGTATGTGCTTATGTGTGTGTGGTTGTGTGTGGTTTTGTGTGTGTGGTTGTGTGGTTGTGTGGTTGTGTGTGGTTGTGTGTGGTTTTGTGTGTGTGCTTGTGTGTGGTTGTGTGGTTGTGTGTGCTTGTGTGTGTGGGTATGTGTGGTTGTGTGTATGGTTGTGTGTGACTCTGTGTGTGTGTGTGGTGGTTGAGTGTGTGTGTCCTGAGCAGAGGTCTGTGAGCTGGGAAGGAAGGAGACTGGGCTGAGGGGAGCACGGTAGCTCTGAATGCACCAGGGTCCCCAGGCCCTGGCCAGGAAACGGGCTCCTGCTCAGAATGGAGACATTGGGGCTCAGAGGGGTGAGTGTCTGATGGCTGAGAACCAAGGATGTGGCCTTTGCTCTGAGCTATGGAGAGGAAGTTTCTCCTGGGTTCCTGTTGGGTGACAAGGTCCCTTCAGCTCCAGACATCATTTACTGGCAGGAAAACTGGTGCACCCGACCCCGTACCCAGAGAGGCTTAGGCCCAAAGCCGCTAACTGGGGCTGTGTGAGGGGACACCTATGGAGGACATAGTGGGGATTGGGGAGATGACTCAACAGCTGGGGCACATTGAGTCTCATCCCTGGAACAACATGGTCTCCTTTTTTATGTTCTGGTGCCACATTTGGCAATATGCAGGTGTTACCCCTGGCTCTGTGCTCAGAAATCACTCCTGGTGGTGCTTGGGGAGCCTATGGGATGCTGGGGCTAGAACCCGGGTCAGTCATGTGCAAGGCAAGTGCCGTCCCCTCTGTACTATCTCTCCAGCCCCTACCTGGACTCCTGAGCAGAGCTGGGAAGGAACCCTAAGGCACGGGGCCAGGAGTAGACCCTAAGCATCACCAGATGTGGCCCTCAAAAGCAGGAAAAAGACCCAGCACACCTTACGTGGAAGTTCACAGGCATACACACGGTGCCCAGACGGTGGGGCTCTAGTTGGGGAATAAAGGTGATGCTCTGAATATGTGACAGGAAGTGGCAGGGGAATTGATAGTTTTATTTTTTCCTTTTTTCCTTTTCATCCCTGATCTTATTAATGCAGGAGAGATTCAACGCATTGAAAGTAGCAAGACCTCCCCTGTTCATCCTACGAGACTGATACCTAAGGGGACAGTAGACACAAGGGCCAGGAATATTGCTCCACAGTTGGAAGCCTGCCTCATGAGCTAGGGGAGAAGGCAGCCGGGATAGAGAAGGGATCTCTAAGTCAATGGTGATTGGAGGGATCGCTCGGGATGGGAGATGTGTGCTGAAAGTAGATAAAGGACCAAACATGATAGCCTCTCAGTATCTGTATTGCAAACCATCATGCCCCAAAGTAGAGAGAGAGTATGGGGGGAATTGTCTGCCATGGAAGCAGGGGGAGGGGTGGGATGGGGATGGGGGATGCTGGGGACATTGGTGGTGGGGAATGTGCATTGGTGGAGGGATGGGTGTTTGAGCATTGTATAACTGAAACTCAAACATGAAAGCTTTATAAGTGTTGCTCATGGTGATTCAATTAAAAAAGAAAGGAAAGAAAGAAAGAAAGAAAGAAAGAAAGAAAGAAGGAAAGAAAGAAAGAAACGCAAGATGGAACCAGAGCAGATTTAGACACAGTCTAATCCACAGCCCTACCTCTCCCCTGCCCCTTGAGAAATGATGGAAGCAGCCCAGAAAATCTGTGTCTTTGCAAAGGGAGACAGGGGAGCAGGACAGAGTCCGGATGAGGACCCAGGAGCCTCAATACCTAGCCAGGAACACGTTCTTGCTGTCGGGGGACTCAGGGACGCTGTTATTTCTACAGTTCCAGCTGCTCCTCTTCCTGCTGGGGCTAAACCTCCAGGGACGCTGGGTACCAGCAAGGGGCCCAGAGGTGCTGCTAAGTGTGGTGGGGGCTTCTGCAGTGTGGACGGCAGGAGGAACGGACACCGTTTTATATAACCGCTCAATAATTTAAAGTCCGCGGATGGATTATCCGTCCATCACCCTGCTTCCAACTTTGCGTGGTGTCTAAAGGCTCTGCAGGAAACCAGATCCAGGGCTAGGGGATGACCTGTCTCTCTCCCGACTGATCGCCTAACACGCTCCCTGGGACCTGGTATGGGCTGTTATTGGAGGCACCAAGAGACTCTGAAGCGAGGCCTCCTCACCCCCAGGTGTCAATTTTCCAGCTGCCTGTGCTCCACGGCCCGGATTTCTCCTATTTATGAACAGGACGATGCGCTTGCCAGAAGAAAACGTTGACCCAAATGGTACATTGTGATTTTGGAAACAATATCCGGGGGCCAGAGAGATGGTACAGTGACTACCTCACATGGGTCCCCTGAGCCCTGCCAGGACTGATTCTCTGAGCCCAGAGCCAGGAGTCAGCCCTGAACACCACCAGGTGTGGTGCCCAAACAAAAATAGAGACAATGGCTATGTTACAAGAATAACAGGATGCAGAGGGAGAAAGAGGAGGCAGTGTGTGTGTGTGTGTGTGCACACATGTGCACATTTGTGCATGTGAATGTGTGTGTGTGTGTGTGTGTGTGTGTGTATGTGCGTGTGACTATTTTAGAAGCCTTTCCTATCGCCTACTGCAGGAATTCCAAATGCGGGGACCACCTTTGGTCACTGGGACTCTTTATTTGCTCATGCTCAGACCCGATGAGACACAGTTCCCCCAAAAGTGACTATTTTTGTTCCCTTTTCCAATGAGGGAAAGTAAAGGAAGGAGGCGGAGGTGAGCGGAAAGGGGGGGGGTGGAGAGAATGGATGATACCCAGGTGAAAAGTTCCCCCCTCCTCTTGACATTGAAAAGACAAAGAGGAGGGTTCTGGAAGGGAGAGGGGAGACGGGAGAGCAGTATCATGAGCACAGACAAGCGGGCAGCCCTGCTGGCCCCTAGCCCAGGTCATGCCTGGAGCCCCGACCAGGCACACACACCCTCATTGCTCCCTTTGCTTGGCTGCTGTGTCACCCTGTCCCTGCTGCTGTATTGGGTGTCCCACCCAGCACACAGGGAAGCGGCCACCGTGACCTTCCTCGTTGGTGGAGCAGATTAAAGCCTTTCACACGAAGCGGTCAGTGGCTGTCCCCCAGTTCCCTTCCAGCTCCTGTAGTATTTGTGGAATATAATGTAACAGGGGCTGGAGTGATAGCACAGCGGTAGGGCATTTGCCTTGCACACAGCCAACATGTCCGGCCCGAGTTCGAGTCCTCCGCCCCTCTCGGAGAGCCCGGCAAGCTAACGAGAGTATCTTGCCCGCACGGCAGAGCCTGGCAAGCTACCCGTGATGTATTCGATATGCCAAACACAGTAACAACAAAAGTCTCCAATGGAGACGTTACTGGGCCCGCTCGAGCAAATCGATGAACAACGGGAGGACAGTGACAGTGACAATGTAACAGAATGGGAGACTGACACCCAAGGATACTGGAGATAAGGGCCAGGAGGATTGCTCCATGGCTTGGAAGAAGCTGGGGGAAAAGGCAGCTGGGATGGAGAAGGGACCATCAAGTAAAGGATGCTTGGAGGACCCGCTCGGGATGGGAGATGTGTACTGAAAGCAGACCGAACATGATGGCCACTTAACACTCGCATTGCAAACCACAACACCCTAAAGGAGAGAGAGAGTAAAAGGGAATGTGTCTGCCACAGAAGCAGGGGTGGGGGTGGGGGGAGGGATACTGGGACCATTGGTGGTGGAGAATGGGCACTGGTGGAGGGATGGGTACTCTATCATTGTATGACTGAAACGTAGGCACGGAAGTTTGTAAGTCTGTAACTGTATCTCACGGTGATTTTATTAAAATAAATAGCCCTAAAAATAATTATAATAGCACTGTAGCACTGTCATCCTATTGTTCATCAATTTGCTTGAGCGGGCATCAGTGACGTCCCCATTGTGAAACTTGTTGTTACTGTGTTTGGCATATGGAATATGCCACGGGTGCTTACCAGGCTTTGCTGTGCGGGCGAGATACTCTCAATAGCTTGCCGGGCTCTCTGAGAGGGGTGGAGGAATCGAACCCGGGTTGGCTGCAAGCAGGGCAAATGCCCTACCCTTGTGGTATCGCTCTAGCCCTTCATTAAAACAAAAAAAAAGTTGTTTGATAAAAGGTCAAAAAAAAAAAAAAAAGAAAAGAAAGTCCCACAGCAGGCACTGGAGTGGCAGTTCGTCCATCTGGAGCGTCCCCTGAGGGCTCCAGCCCTGCCCACTCCTAGGCTGCGTGTCTCTGGGGGGGTCCTGGCACCAGCTTCCACCATGCCCACTTCCAGGTTTTTCCCAAACTCAGCCCCTCTTCCCTCCCGCCAGGCCTCACGAGCATCCATCCAGATGTGCCCTTCCTGCTTCTTTTTTTGGAAACGGGGGTGCCCAGCTGAGTGAGGACA